CCCCCCCAATCTCTTAGTGGCTGAAGACTTGAGATAAACAGGATAGTCCTGGAAAAGCAAATGAAAGAAGTTCAAACAATGAAAAAGTACTGAAGCTGCCAGCCGGTTCCCATTAGTCCTCCAGAATTAATTTTTAATAGCTGGGATGCTCAGATTTGCTTGGAGATTGAACTGTATAAAGAGTCTTGTTAGATATATATGTGTGTGTATATATATATTTATGTGTATGTATATGTGTGTGTGTATGCCTATACAAAGCTGTTAGCTTTAAAGCTTCATGTACCTGGATTTTTCTGATGAAGCTACCGGGCTTTTAGGACGCTTGGGATTTCCTTGGGGAGGGAAGCTCCATATTTCATTCAGATTTTGCTATTCTCTGCCTGATGGAGAAAGATGCTGAAGAGCCGTACAATGAGCAATGTATTGATTTGGTTAACATACTCTACAAATTGTGCCCTCCCTGGGGAGTGATAAACATCTTATAAACAACAATGGAAGTAGATTAAAAAGAACACTGAGCATTGAATTTAATTAATGCCACTGCTGAACAAGTACTACTTGTTTGTGTGTGTGAGTGTGTTTAAGCTGAAGTACAGCTTGGAGGAATTTGGTTGGGCTCCCAAACCAGTCTGCTTTCCCATGCTTGTCAGTTTGGCAAAGAAATTTGGGCAGGTATGTGACGAGGTGAAAATTGACTTGATGAGCGAGTGGCAAGGAGAGCCATCAATCACTGGGGGCTGACAACTCCTCCCCGAAGTGTAGGCTGAGAAGAGAGACAGAGTTCCCTTTCAAGGGGAAAAATAAACACTACGTGTGGCTTTCACTGAGTCTGAGACTCCAGGAGGGATTATGGTATTGTAGTCAGGAAGCCAGAATTGTGGAGGCCAAAAAGCATGCTGGGGCTGTGTTCCAAACATTGAGATAGAGGTACATAATTATCCGGCGCAGGAGGTCTTTCCAGAGACTCGTCCCCCAGCAACTGTGGCCATTAAACTATGAAAAGAATTTGCTTTCGTTTCATCTTCCTTGGGCTCTGCTGCTTTTGGGAAAGGGCAATCCTCGAACCTTGGGCGCTGGCGTGGCGGTAAAAAGTGGTTTGGCCCTGCGGATGGGTCCAGAGCTCTGATTTTTTATTTTTTTTTTGGCGTTGCTGCGCCTTGGCAAGGCACAGCTTTGAATTCTCTGCTGCCCTGTGGATGAGGAGTCCCTGCTTTCTGCCGGCAGATGGTCAGGTGCAGGAGCCGGCAAAAATCGTCAGGTGAGAAGATGCGTGGTCAGGTAGCCTTGTGCGGTGCTCGGGCACGTCAGGCGAGGGTAGGAACCACAAACGTGCTTTCAGCGGTGTTTAGTTTAGCCTAAAAATCTGAAACAGCTGAAGTAGATGGGGAATTAATGTTGGTAAAAGAGTCTGGAATATATGCTGGCGTTTCGGTGTGTTTTCTTTTTGCAAAATTATGATTAGACGTCGCGTTTATATATGTCGCCTTTAATCGGGCTTTACAGGATGATTTATGGAAATTCAATTAGCATTACATCCAGTCTGTTAATTAGAGTTTCTACCAGCTTTACAGCTGGATAAACTGAGCTACAAGAGCCGTGGCTGTCTGACAGCGAGTCCGGTGGGTGACCGGACTGGTGGCACCCAGGAGGGCTCGCTCCGGTCCTCCACCAAACGCACAGCGCTCCCGGAGACACAGCTCGCTCTCTTCAGGTCTACACCTGCTCAGCGCCGATTTAGAGAAGTGCTCGGTGAGCTCTTCGCAAATGTTTTTTGGTTTTTTTTTTTTTTTTTCAGTGGTCTGGGGGTGTTTTCACTGGAGATTTAATCGTAGTTGCTGGCTCGTGGTCTGGGATGCTCACACTATGCTGACATCTCGGAAAGAGGCGCAGAGCTTTGAGGTGATGGCAGCTGGGGTTGAAAAAGCTCACCCTAAAGTATCAGGGATGCACCTGAAATACCACGTATTAATTATTTTCCCCAAGTGCCTTCTTTACATCGTCTAAAATCAGTTTCTACTGACTTCAGAAGTTATTGTATATAGTACCCAAGATAAAAGATGCCTCAACAGCATTTCTGTCCTTAGCACTGCGAACTGGGTTTGTACGTGCAGGTAGCAAAAGGCTAATAAAATCCACTTAAGCTTTTTAAGGGTTGGCTTTATAAAGGGAGAATATTTGTCTGTGTTTCTGTGTGCTGTATGCTGGGGTACCACATCCAAATGACAGAGGGTTTTGAGAATTTTGCCTTTATCTCTACATTCCCTGCTTTTTTTTTTTTTTTTTAATGAGTGAGGGCAAGAGGGAAAAAGAGGGTTTATTTTTCCCTTCAAGATGAGTGCTCTCTAAGCTTCAGTTGGGTTTCATCACATCCAAGATGAATCATTGGCCAGATTAGAACAACTGCTGCAGTTACTTCTTTTATCCATTTGCTGAGGTTTACCATCTTTTATTTTTGAAGCGGAAAATCAGGTCTAATTTTCTGGTTGAGCTGTTAAATCACCCTGTGAGGATGCTCTTCTGACCCTCACCTGGCATCTGGGTGTGGGGGCAACAGGGTCCCCTGAAGGCAGTGCCAGTTTCTTTGGTACCGCTTTGCTTCTCTCTTCTGGCTGGATTACCACTTAACTCCATCCATTTAAATTAGTTTCACTGTGAGTAAAATAGACTTTTTTACCCCCCTCATATGAAAAATATATATATCAATAAGCATCGTTGAGAGAGAGAGAAGAAAAACGTGTGCGTGCAGGTTAGCGTATATGAATGGACAATGATGCTGGGGAGGTCTCCTGTGAAATTGCGATCTGTACCACACTGTATACAGGTTTTAATTGCCTGTAACGCAGCGTAGCTAACCAGTATCCCTGCCAAGACTGGAGCCGTTCACCTGTACGGGACGCTCAGGCTTTAAAAAGGACACTGAACTGAGTCAGAAGAAGGTACATGCACAGGGGGGCTGGAAGTCCTGAGGTGAAATGAAGTTTTACAGATTATCCAAAAGTCTAGAGAGTATTTTTCAACTGTTTTTTTTTTTTTTTTTCTTCTGGTGGAAAATTCTTGCAAATTCAGCTGGCTGCAGAACTGCTTAGGTGAAGGAATGAAAAACAAGGCAAACTTACATAAACTTTCAAACAATAACAAGAATATAATTTGTATAATTGTGGTAATTTTGTAGCATTACGGGTTATGTGCCTGCACATGTGTGCGCCTGTTGGTTTTTTTTTTTTTAAAAACTGTATATTTTTCTGTCAGTAAAATAGCTCTCTAAATATGTGCTGAGAAGTGATTTTGTGAAAACAAGGAGGACTTGGTTATGCCTCAGGTGATGATGGAAACTGCTAACAGAAAATGAAAAGTCACTCACTTTTCACATATTCTTGAAACTGGAAAACTATTTTTCCCATCCTTCTCCTCCTCCCCCTCTCACCTCAGCTCTGTTCGGGGCTTTCTGAAGTTTTCTTTGGTTTTTTGGTTTGTGTTTTAAGATGTTTTCGCTGACAGTGTTAAATCTCTCTCCTCCCCGCAGCAGCAGCCGTCGTTCCACGGGAGGAGGTCTTACCCCGGCCGAAGGCACTGCTTTCTCTCCATGCTTCTCTAGAGGTGTTCAGATGGGATTAAAGTCCACATGGAGATATGGAAATGGACCAGGAATTTACTGTAAAAAGATGGTCGGCTGGGATTCGGGTTGCCTTATCTGCCTGGTGGTGTTCACCATGGCTGGACTTACCCTGGCTCGACCTTCGTTTAATTTAGTTGTCGAAGACGCCACGCTGGAACCTGAAGGTAAATCACTCTAGAATCCTTAATTCCGTAAAACTGGTTCATTTTAAATGCTTGAACCTCTGAAATAGAAGTCAACATCTTTATGTGGTTTGGTAAATCTAAGGCAAGCAACAGATTAGCCCTCAAGAGTTATGTTTTTTGTCTTTTCCTGCTCGCACATGGGCTGTGTTCATGCAAGCATGTGTTTGTTTAATCTTGTGCAAGCGAGCGGTGTCAGTGATTTCACTTGGGACTGTCATCACGTTGTATAATCAAAGAGGGCGGCTGAAAGTGTTCAGGAATGGGTCTGTAAGGAAGCCGGGCTGTTGCACTCACGTACGTGTTGCTGTCTCGAGGAACGACGTGGCTGTGTGGCTGCCCGTCTCCGCCATTGTCTTAACCTCAGAAGTTCAGAGAAAAAGAAATCCCAGTGGTTTTCAGTCCTCTGTCCTGAAAGTTTAATTTTGCCGGGAACTCTGCAAAAATGGTGTCGCAGCTTTATTGGTGTTTGTAGTTGGAATAAGTTTCCCTATTGCTGTTAATACCCAAGAACAGTCGGTATGGACACCGTATTGCAAGTTTTGGAAGTGTGGATGTTGAGATCTGAATAGCGAGGATTGCAGTGTACTACTGTGAAAGCAAAGGCTGATTGACCCCTTCGCATTGGAAGAGGCATTTTGATAAAAACCTCCTGTTTTGAGCCTGCACCTGTTGGTACGTTCTTCCAGGTATATCCGTCCCTCAAACTTTGCAAAGTGGTTTTCTTCTCTAAGAGGAGAGGCTGCTTTATTTTTTTTATTGTCGTGAGCTGATTGTATTTAAGAATGACTTTACTGTATTGTGTAGGATCTTTCCTGCTCCCTGAGCACCGCGGGGGCAAAGCCAGGCTTCCTTCGTAAGGTTTCATCTGTCCTTTGGAGGAGCGATTAAGTGTCTGATACCACAACTGTCAAACCAACATGATAGTCCGTAGAGCATTTCTCATCCTGCGAGCTCGCTGGAGAGAATTTGGCCTTTACAGATTCTACTGCTCATGTCCACGGATACAGCTTTGTTTTTATTTAACATGTTTTCATGCAAAACTTATTTGTTTCTATCCACTGCCTCTAAAAATAGACGTCACCAGCTAACACATTTTTAGAATCCATTCCAAGTACGTTTTTATTGATGGCAGGGGATGTGCTATTTAGAGACGATGAGCCCTCCTCCCTAGCAAGCATTCCTGAAAAAAAATTAAAGTATAGCAATATTGTCATCTGTCAGCCATAGACATTGTTCATAGCAAAGATTTTTGTGGGTTTTTTTTTCTTTTTTCTTTTGAAGGTAACTCGAGCATTAAAAAAATAAAGCCCAACTCTCATCACCACTTACTGTATGAGTTGTTAATTGCACATCTGGTGCCTTTTTGGCTTTTTGGAGGAATGACCAAATCATGAATAATTCTGGTTTCAGATTAGCTGTTTGTAGTGAGGTCCCCTAGTTTTAGGGTTAAATCAGAAAGAACGTGATTGCATGATTGGTGGAATATTTTACAGGGAGAAAACTAATATTTTTTTAATGCTGCCTGATAATTTTTCAGCTTTTCAGGGAAAGAATAGCTTTTATTTTAAAAAGCTCAGTTTAAAAAATATGTTTCTTCCACAGTGAATATCCAGGGGGTGGAATCTGGGTTTTATCAAAGAGTAAATTGTTAAAAAGGTTTTAAAACTTCTTCCCTGGGCAGGAATGTTACTGACATGAAACAAATTTAGACGTGAGAACCTGAATGATTACCAGAAATGAGAAGAAAAAAAACCACCAAACCCAAACCACCACGCTTTTAAGTTAATGGTATAATAAGAGCTTTTATGCTGCAGAATACAGGGAATTGTGTGGGATTTATATCTGAGATTTGGGAAAGAAAACCTCCTTTATGTACTTTGTTAAACCCATTTAAAAAAAAAAACAAACCTCAAGTTTTTACACAATCACCTTCTCTGGGTTCCATCACTGCCACCCACAAGCTCTGCATGACAAAAACAAAAACAAAAAAAAAACCCTTCAAAAAATCTCTTCAAAGACAAAGCAGATGTCTTTTTTTAATTTAGTGGATGCCAAACATTTTGGCCACAGCTAATTTGGGGGGTCAGGTGCTCTAATAATGTAGATTTTGGGTAGGGCTGCTGACTGTGCGGTCATTGGATCTATGATATTTCATCCCAGCTGAGAAGGTCGATGGGGCCATGACCTTTGGTGACACGTGTTGATCTGTTCCCAAGTCTTCTCCATGGACATGCTCTAAATTTTGTCTTTTTTTTTTTTTTATGTTAGGGGCCTTTACTGTTGCTGTTTATTGTCTTGGTGACTCAGAATATTCAAAAAGCTGTATGCGACGTTAACAGGGATTGAGATTGTGGCTTTTCGTTCCTTTGCAATAGAGAATATACTCTGGTCTCTTAGCTAAACAGAACTTTGGGGAGATTTGCAACTGTTTTCTTCAGAGTATGTGGTTAAGTATGTACTTAAGTACATATATTATGTATTTATGTGTATATGTTTGATAAATAGCAAGCTCTCCCTTGACCTTCCCTTGCTCAAGCTGTGTGTTACCGTTCTGCTGGGTAGGTAATACTTAAGCAGAATTTATCTAATGGGGTAATCAACTGTGTGGGTGCATGCAGGATACGTGCAAGACGTTGTCATGCATCGAGGTACTTCGCTTTGGGTTATACGTGGTCAGTCTGATCTCTTTGGTCGCACACTTCGCTCAACACCTTTAGAGAACGCTGGAGTCGTTGAGCTCTGAATCTCATCTGTGACCGTGAGATGTTACTCTGGTACGTGTCAAATTATTTACAGTGACGATGGGATCTTGAGCCGTTGTGAATTATAATGTCCATATTGATATCACGGGTGGTCCCAGAGGGCTGGATCCCGCGTGTGGTGGTCACTGGTTGTGGTGGTTTCGTCCTCGAGCAGTGGTGGCAATAGCTGTTGAGCTGCGTGAGCGGAAACGGAACCTGTAGGAGTTCGTTTGGGGACTGTCAACTATCGAATTATATCTTCCATCAAGTGTTTACGTTTGTGTTTTTTTTTATCCTAGGGAGTATAAAGACTTTCTGCTTTTAAGTATTTAGAATTACTTAGGTCTACCCCAGCACGGACAAAGGACCCATTCTCTTTCTGTCCACGCGGGCCGTGAAGGCCTTTGATGATAGCCAACATTTCAAAAGGGCTCTGACCGCACACATAGGTTGAAGGGTTACTTTGTGAACTGAATAATTAGTTTAGACATATATTTGATAAATAGCAAGCTCTCCCTTGACCTCCCGTTGCCCAAGCTGCGTGTTATCGTTCTGGGTAGCTAATTTAGTCCCTTCCCCACGTGCGATGCCTTGACGCTGTCCTTGGAGCACCCACACCAAGCCCTCGCCTGGTGCAGTAACAATGCGTTTCAGTTCTGTTAATTTAGGTCAAATTTCAAAGGGCTAATTTAAGCTTTCTACGGGGGACAGCCTGATTCTGTGCCCTGTGAAAAACACAGTCGTTCAAAATGGCCTTAAACGTGTGTTTGGGAGGTTCCTCCGAGCGGCAATGAAGGGGACAGACCTTCTTTGATGGGTGATGTGTGTTTATGGTGGGCTCTGACCTGAGTAACGAGGGGTCATTTGGGTTTTAACTCAGTGACAGCTATTTGTTGGCACCCAACAACGTACAAATATAAACAGATTCGGGGCAGTACCCAGAGCAATACCTTCCTTTTGGTGAAAATGTTGGCAGTGCTTAAAGGTTAACATCACCTGTGGTCACGGCGGTTAGCGCAGTCCACTTGGACATTCCTCGTTAGCCACCCTGACCTGCCTGGTTTGGGATGTGGGGTCTTGCGAGGCGCTTCCCACCCTCCCAGGAGCCGGCAGGGCTGCAGCATGCGGAGGAGGGATGCTGCGGTGGTGGGATGTCCCCTCTCCCACCCTGGGGCGCCTCCATGGGTCTTCTCCATGCCGGTGCTGCTCTGCTGCGAGGTTGCAGGGCTGGTGGAACCCTGCACGGTGCTCATCTTCCCTGGGCAGAGGAGGTGGAGGAGCAGCAGGATGCTGCTTCCAATTTGGTAGGGAAAATAAAGCAAAAAGTTCACCCAGAGTTCCCTTGTTACCTTTTTTTCTTTTTTTTTTTTTCTTTTTTTTTTTCACAAGAGCAGTGGCTTTGATATCTGCAAATTATGATTAACAATTCAAACTGATTAGTTAAATCGGAGTGCTGGGCTTTTGTTTTTTGGTGGGTTTTTTTTTTTTTTTTAAAGGAAGGGCAATTATCACAGCCCATTATGGAGGAATGTGACATCCCCACAGCTTCGGGTGAGGGCTGGATGCCCTCTGAGGGATCCGGTTCAGTAAGTTATTTGGCCCAGTCCAGGAATTGCTAGCTGGGATTCTGGGGAGTTGTACAAGCAGCCAGATTAAATCAGTCTTAATGTGTCCATTCTGCGTTTTAAAATCCTCAGTCCTTAGGCAGAGGCATGGTCTTGAGCTGCAGACTAATTGGGCATGGGTAGGGTTGTTATTTACATCGGTGTTGATGAGGCGCTGGGAGTTGGTAATGTGTCAGCGTGGCAACTGTTTTGCAAAGTAGCACAAATAATTGCCCATTTCAGGCTTATCTGCCATATTTTACAATCGCAGCTTTTTAAAGAAAAAAAAAAAGTTAACTTTTTGGAATTTGATTCCTTCAGGGATATTTTTTTTGGAGCCAGAAGATTTTCAAAGATGCTGAGTTGCCTTTTTTTTAGTATTTTTTTTTTTTTTTAAACCACTTGTATAGATAAAGCCCCAAACCAGCCACCAACTCCAATGGATGCATAGTTTTCTAATCTTAAAATAGTTCTTCCTTGGCAGAGAACTTGCAAGAAATTTCGGGCTATAGTCACTTTTTTTACAGGCAAATCACAGACCTTTGGAAGCAGAATTTACAATGAAAATGCTGACAGCTCCAGTTATGCAAGGTTGTGTAAGCATGAGACGATGGACTATTGTGGTGTTTTAATA